CTCAAACAAGGCCCGTGACCACGGAGCTGGGAAAGCAGCTGGGTGGGCAGATGAAGTCACTTTTCGTATCCTGATTGCATTTTATGTCTACGTCTTCCCATAGGGGTATCCCTTCCCCCAAGGCTCCCAGGTCAATTTTGAAAACAATCTTTGTAATTTCCAGCACTGCAATAAAGGCCCCATCCCCCGTCCTCACACATTGGGTCAACACAGTTTGGCCTAAAAATCTAATAGCCGTAGACTTTTGCTTCCCAAAGGGAGCCTCTGTGTACTGCCTTCACCAAAAGTAATCTTCAGTGTTTCAGAAGTGACTCAAAACCGTAGCAAGGATAGTTTAGAATCTCAATCTCGCAGAGGTCTACAACGGGTACGTTAGTGTTAATTGAAGTGAACCATTAACTAATTAACTTCGCTTCCATCTTCACAGTTCCTATACTATTTTTCCCTCTTTCTTTGTCACAGAATTGAACATGATAAACACATCACCCTCCGACTTCTGTAGTGCTGAAGAATCAGGTAGCGGCAAGGTAGTGAGTTTATGTACATACTTTGGTGTGAATAGGGTCTTTTGAATGGTTCGTGGGCTTCACACTCTGATGCCAGCCCAGTAATGTATGGAAACTGGGGAAGCACCATTTCTACGGTTTTGTATATTAATAAAAGACAAGTATAATAATTTTGACAATTTTTATGTAAAAGATCAACCTTAAACTTCTCTCCAAATGGCAGGATTAAGAGCTGGACTTTGACAGTGTTCACTGAAAGAATACAGACATCATCCATACTCATGGACTAGGTACCGCTTTGGGTAGCATTGTTCCAACACAGAAGTCAGTGTTCTCAGGAGTGATTTGGTAAACTTTCCTATTCCAGGACATTTATGATAGCATCCCTGTGCCAGGCATTGTTGGGCAAAAGGATGAAGTGAGGAATCAGGGGGCCACTGTTCTCAGGGAGCTGGGTCTCAGGCAGAGCGCAGATCACGGGCAGACCACTAACATGCGTGCAAGAAGGCCAAGCACAGGGATGTACAGACACTGGGAGTTCACATCAAGGAAACTGATCTCCTCAGAGATGGGACAAGAACATTTAGTAAAGCCTGTCAGAGTCACTTCATGATCTCGTGGTGCTACACAGATTATTAGAAATGGGTTAATCAAGATATGAGAGTTAGCCAATAAGAGGCTGAAACTAATGGGCCAAGCAATGTTTAAAAGAATACAGTTTCCGTGTAAAGCTAGCCAGGCGGGTGCCCGCTGCTCCTTTTACAGCTTCAGCCACCATTTAACTTGGGCTCAAAGCTAAATTTGGTGCTTATATAGTATATATAAAAAAGCGGGTGTAGAAAAAAGATGCATACTTCCCATTGAACACTAATTAACTCTGCCCTAAATCCCCAGCTTTGCCCACTAAAGGTATGTTAGGAGATCCAACTTTGTACTTAAGACATTTTATTTCCTTTAATATTGGGGGCAGAGACCAAAGGGACTATCCAGTTTGTATTCTAACAACTTAAAAATGTTTGTTTTTAATTGCACGTGTGTGCACGTGCATATGTGTGTGTGTGTGTGTGTGTGTGTGTGTGTGTGTGTGTAGGTGCCCAAGAAAACCAGGGACATTGAGTCCACCTGGTGCTGTAGTTCCACTGGTTGTGAATTTCTCGGCATGGACTCTGGGACCTGAACTTAGGTCTTCTGCAAGAGTATGCACGCTTACTCTTACCTCTGATAACTCCTTTTAGAGATGTGTTATACCCTTAGATTGCTACTTCTTAGTCTTCTTTTAATTCATAATTACAACTCCTAACTTTTTAAAGTTACCTTTCCCATACATTTTCTTTGCTTTTAAGAAGAAAAGTGAACTTTATTCTGATGTTAGGAAGAATGCTGCCCTTTAAATGTAAAAGGACCATACGTCTAAGCTACTTTCATAAATAGGCTCTTGTCAAAGTATAATGAAGAGAGGAGAGCTCTCCACACATGGGTGAGGAAACTCTGACCATGGTGCAGAATTTAGATCGGGATGTCAATGTCCTGCCTGCTTAATTACAGTGGAAATATTTCTTTTCGTAGAGCAGTGCATTCTTCTTGCAATGACATGTTTCTGAAAGACAATCTTCAAACAGCATAAGCATCCATTGTTCTTTATTCTTCAATAATTTTGGAAGAAAAATTATTTCTATATAGCCTGAGTAATTTTCTTCTCACACATTGCTTTAAGTGTTCATTATCCTTCAGTTATTTACTTAGTTCTATTCTTTGCAGTGCCGATTTCTCCTTCACAAAAGAGCAGATGTTAATTGCAACCATTTGGAAAGGACCTCGAAGTCACCGAGAAGCATCTCAGTTGCTTTAACACGTCATGCAAAGAGAGTTCAAGAAGTCTTTGTCATTAACTAACGAGCCATTCTCTTTGGATGTAGGCAGCTAACCTCAGAGACCCTGTCTTTGTGCAAACTTTATTCTGGTTATTATCTAGTCTAATCTCTAAATAACTTCTAAAATCAATCCATCCAGAAAAATTAACTGTGTCTGGCTTATTCCTGCCTCTTGTGGTGGGAATTTGGAGCAGACACTTGGGGACTTTTTTGTTAAGCTGTAGGTGGTAAACGGCCTCCTCAGATGACAACTCAACCCAGGGCCCTAACAAGCCTTCCAGCTTTGCAGGTGACCGCGTGCTTGCTGTGGGCTTTGCTTCCCTCTCAACAGCAGTTTGTCAGTGTTTGTAAGACTTTGGAGAAAATGATTTTTTATAGCAACTGATAAAAATACCTAAATTTATTCATTTATTAATTGTGTCTATGGGGTGTATGCACATGTACCTATGTGTGTGTGTGTGTGTGCGCACATGCATGGAAGCTAGAAGTCAATGCTGGTTATCTTTCTGGATTATTCCCATCATATATTTTAATTAGAATACATTAATTATACATAATAATGAGCCTCATTACAACATTTTTAGACATGTACAAGACACATTTCAAACATATTTACTCCTCCACTGTTAATTTTACTTGCCTGCCTCTTACCTTTGCTAGCTTCTCATCTTGCTGTCTAGCCTTCCTCCTCCTATCTAATGATTCTTGCTAAACCTTGAGCTCACCGATTTGGCAGAGCAAACTGGCCAGTGAGCTAGGGAATCCTTCTTGGAGCCACGTCGGTGCCGAGATAATATGTGTGTGCCCTGGGAACCAGCTTTTTATGAGACTGCGGAGGACTTGAACTCAGATCCCCATGGTTTGGGGGCAAGTATGTTAGCCGCTGGCCATCTTTCCAGTCCTTAAGTTTATTATGAGGGAGCTACATAGCGAGGACAAGTGACGTGTGTTTCTGTGTCTGCAGAATCAGCTCTGTATACTTTGAAAGTGGGTTCTATGCCATTTGAACACTGGTACTGAGGATACAGGGTAATTTGGGGGTAACCCTTGCAGCGTGATGAAGTACTCTAATGTTCTACAGCAAGCAAATCCACTTCTCTAAAGTGGCGTGCACACACTGCAGGGCTTCATAGCTTTAGTTTTTTTTTTTTTATAAAAGATCGTAAAAATCTATTTGGTTTCCTCTAAACAACAGTTAGTAAGCTTATGGGTGGCAGGTGCCACCAGAGGCGGGGCTATGCGATGCTCCTTTCTGAACGCCGGTTGCTATGTGAAGTACAGCAAAATCAGATATGTCGCCAATTGGAGAAAGCGCTATGACCCAATTTCGAGGTACACATGTACCATTTTTACTTTACAACCTTGAAGTCTGATGCTAGAGACTGCTCCATCCTGTGTTCTGTGCTGGTGATATTTGCCATGCAGGTAGAGTGCGTGTAGGTAGGCTTTCACACCGTGCTAAATCACAGTGTTCTGAAAGACCCAGGGCCTTGCAAAGGCCATATCTCAAAAAAGTTACTGCTTCAAATAAATGTGCCATTTTATAAAATTATACCTACTGCACCAGAAAAAAAAATGTTCTTTCATGTGAGTGACTTTTATACGACTGCCATTTATACAGAATTGGACATTCTCACACAGCAAGGCTGAAGAATGGCTTTGGAAGCCCAGAGTAGTCTCTGAATGATAAATGTGGTGAGATTTTAAGATGCTCCTCTGAGAGCAGCTGGGTGGCTTCCTTACAAAAACGAATCTTGCTTTATTATGAAAAGTAATTACTCAGTTATACCTGGAGCATTAGCAAGACTTCCAACTCCTTTCGTACCCGAAGCATGTTAAGTCATAAGGCTTCTTACCTTGTAGAGCTGGACCCTGTGGATACTCTTGGACCAATAGGCTTTCAGCTTAGGTTTCTGGAACTGAGGCCCAGCTAATGAGAACCAGGAATAGAACTCTAAACACCCCCACTCTAAGGCTCAAGGAACTTGCTTTCTAGGACACACCATTCATCTATTAAAAGGCCAGTGCCATTCAGAGAAAAATAAAAACGCCAACACAAAAGAAAATCCCCCAACCACCTACCACCTGCACACTTTCTGTCCCTTGTGCCGTAAACTGCATGTCAAACTGTATTTTCTGGAAAAGCCGTCGCTAAACTGATTAAGGATATTTAGATTAAGAGCAAGGAAGAAGGAGTGTTCAGCCTCAGATAGGTGTGAGGAAGTACTCAGATCTAGTGTTAGACTGCTAGCCTGCACACCTACTGACTTCCAGCCTCCTTTCCCATGGCGCTTCAGATTTATATGAAGACAGTCGCACAGAGAAAGAATCCAGCCCTGGGTATTTCTCCTCGGGAGTCCCCCGCACCATGATGAGTAATACAACCCCAGGAAGCTAAAGATTGGCTGAATTGCTTAACTGATCCTGCTGCAGCTTTGGGCTGCCTTTTTTTTTTTTTTTTTCTTCTTGTGTGAGAGAGATATGGGGTGAGTTTGCCTATATCTCAGTATCAGCTTGATGAAAAGTGGGATTCAGAAAACAAGGGCTGGAGGTGGGCTGAGACAGAAAAGGGATCTCAGCCTCTGGTAAAAGCGACAAGGCAATAGCCAGGGAAGTGACCCACCTGCGGGAGAGGCGCCCAGAGGGCCGTCGGTCAGGCGCAGCTGCGGTGGGCACTGGCTGCCAGGCAATGCAGAGCCAGCTTGCCGGCCTGAGCTCTGCACTGCCTCCAGGCTCTCGCCTTTAAAAAGCCAGAGAGCGAAGGGAGGGCCCGCTTGATTTCGCAAGAGAAGCTGTGAAGCAAAGTTTCCGGGAAGAGTTCAACCTGGGAATCCCGCGCAGCTGGAAGGACCAGAACTTTTTGTGTTGCTCTGGCATGCAGATGCAGCCGCTTTGCGAGCAAGCGGGGCTAAAGAGGGGTTTTCCGGAGCTCCTGGAATCGCTGCATCCCTGTCCAGTAGCAGCCCAAATAAAGGGGCAGGGAGGCAGGCGTTCCTTTCTAGTTGGATCCAGAGGCCACTGGGCAGCTAAGAAAGCAGCTCGTAAGCAAGGACCTTAGGAATATTCCTCTTAGCTGGCGTCTTGCCTCTGTTCAGACGAAATAGTGGCGTCTATCTTCTTTCTGGATCCACGATTCTTACAGAGTTAGAACCCAAAGATCTGGAATTTTTAGGTCTTCATTTCATACACAGACAGCTGTATCTCTAAGTCCACAGAGGTTGCTCCAAGGCTCTACGTGGTACTGAAGCCCAGGTATGCACAAGCATTTTGTATAATAAGCACCCTGCCTCCTGTTTATTTAAAACCATCTCTACTTGGTAACAACGCAATGCAAATCTATCTAAATGGATACCATACTTTATTGTTTGGAAGAGAATGACAAGAGGCAAAACACCTATACATGCAGAAAAGAAGAAAACATTTTTTTTTCCTAAATAGTTTTGATTCATAGTTTGTCGAATGCACAGATTATAAAAACATGGATACAGAGGGCTGACGACATATAAATTGGATTGGTGTGTCGTTCTATAGAGGTGCTCAAATCCACCAGTTTAGGGCCTAAAGGACCACGAAAACGTGGGGAAGAACATTCGTACAGTGCCATTTTGCAGTCTAAAACCCAGAGTTCTCCAAGTTTGTCTCTCTCCCAACCATCTGCTTCCAACTTCCAGCACACTCTTGCCAAGGTTCCGATTCGCAGTCTTAGGGGAAGTGTGTTCTCAGCCCATCTGAGCCAGCCTCCTCTTTGCCTTGACTGCAACTCTTCTCTTGTGTCCTGTGGAGTCAGCTGAGGTTCGAGTGTCTTCCAACAAGCCCTGCTCTGACAGCTAGCTGTGATTCAATCCTCTCTGTCTTCATACGAGGCAGTATGGAATTTGAGTGCAGCAGTTAGAACATCTCACTCAAGTTTGTGCCTCCCGAGGGGTGCTTTCCCATCGCACCTAATGTACCACACCATCAATGTCTACTGCTCTTGTTAGTAAATCTACTCCCCAATCTTGTATTTTTCAAGGCGTTCTTCTGATAAGTATTCTTAGGCCAGAAAAGAACTTAAAAAAAATTCACTGATTTTTGCAGCCTTGAGTTTGAAGACTCATAGGTGAGAGAATGGTGTGTGTCCAGGGGAGAAGATATTCAACTGTGTCTCCAAGAGGCCTCACGATTGGCGGCTGGGTGGGAGACAGATTGGGAGGACTCGGATTTTAGAGAGCAGAGTTTGGGAGGTATCAGTGCTTTTTCTGATGATTTGCCAAGGGGTCGCATCTGGCTTTGGGCCTTGTTGACACAGAGACCTGATTCTTGACACATCATCCCGAATCTACGAATCTACGAATCTACGTGTACAATGTAGCTTTACCAGTTGCCAGCGGAATACCAAATAGTTACTGTGAAACAGCAGTCGTGAAGGGCACCAGTCATTCTGACGGCTCCATTGTTTTCTTCTGGGCATTTCATGTTATGTGTACCAGGCTGCTTAATCATAGGCATGAGATTCCCAGGCTTATTGTATCTGGCTTAAGAGACTCTGTTGTGCTTGTAGAAACAGCTTCCAATAGTAAATAATAGCAATGAAGGACCACATAGGAAACGCAATAGGTACTTGACTCGCTGATCTTGTGGTTCATGAGCCTTAGTTCGGGTCGGAATCGCGCATTAATGATCTTGAGGACCATTTGACTTCCGCTGGATAGAACATTTTCATTGTGTACATTAGGAACCAAAATTGTTTTGAGCTATCTAGCCCATTTCAGCAGCTGTTCACTGTTCCCTTGTTTATCTTACCCACCATTGGTATCTCTGAGACAAAGTCCTGAAATATCCCCAGGGAGTTTGACACACTTAGACTTACCAGTCCTAAAGCTACAGATGTGCAAAGTTCACACTGACGTCCCTCGGGGATTTCCCAGACATTCTGTAGCCTGCCTACCAGATGACCCTCACAGCTGCCTTTTGCAAACACATTGATCCATGGCTTTTCCCCCCTGTAACCTCTGCTCTGGTGGAACACCGATCTGGGTCTCCAGGTCATGGCTGCTCCTATTGGACTCGGAATAAGCCAGTTCCTTTTTCTGTAGAGAGTTGGTACTTTATGTCGGCAGGTTTTGAGATTGATTTTCCCTTAGGTCTAGGAAGGACACACAATTCATAACTCTCCTAGTTTTTCCTTGCTGGAGCAAAGTTAAACTTTTGTTTTCATGGTGGTGCCGGCCTAAAATCCCAACTCTCAGGGTTTGAGGCCGAGAGGATTATGAGCTGCAAGTCAGTCTGGGCTACATGGTGAGATTTTTGTCTTAAAAAAAACCAAATGAATGGAAGTAAAACACAAACCAAAATGAAACGAAACTTTCTGCTCTTTTCAGAGACCCCCATCTGTTTTGCCCAGGTCTTTATTATCTGTCTCTCATCTCCCGTTCTACACAGCTGTTGGCCCAAGAAAGGATGACTTGCTAGTATGGGAACTCTGATTAACTGGATTCTTATTGGGACAGGTTAGACCACCAGAAATAGACAGCTGGGATCAACGCAGCAGGCCATCTGAGTTCTAGACTAGGTTTGACTTCACCATGAACTGACATTACTGACAGCCATATTGTATTCTCAAACGTAGCCTCCAACCAGTGACATTTTATCTTTATTAGGTAGATGAAAAAAATTGTGAATTTTATTGTTATTTGAGGCAAATATATTTCAGTTATGTAAGCCCTTTTCTTTGCTGAAGGCAGCCAAAGTTCCAGAAAAGAAAGATTAAATTACTGGGATATGAAGGATGGAAGAAATTTCCTTTATTAGTATTAAACTTGAGAGGCACTTGACTTGTGGTTAAAAGATTGATTATCCCTTTAGGCCTAGGAGGCACACACAATTCATAACTCTCCAAGTTTTTCTTTAAATCCTAGCTGTAAGGGAAAATTAAGTTTCCAAAAGATGCCAGTAGCCGGAATACCCAAGGCTTTGGTGTTGGCAGGGCTCATTCTTCTTCCTGCCACTGCATCATCAGCTCCTTGGATTCGCCTTCCAGATGTTGCCCTCCGTCAGAGTCCCTACTTAGGGATCTCCATGTTATCTGCCTGGAGTTCCTCCTGTTTCTAGCCCTGGACAGGGTAGTCTGTCATTGACACGTGCGAGAAACACACACACTGAAACATTGCCCTCTATCTGTTTTTCAAGTAAGTAAGGAGGGTAGGAATGAAGAAAAGAAAGGAAAAGAAATTAAAATAGAGATGTTTCTGTCTAACTCAAGGACTCTCTAATGGTGTGGAGCTCACATCCTTTGGAGGTACTTTTGAGTTTGGATGTAATGATGACTTTGTCTTTTTTTTTTCTTGTTTGGCATCACGCTGTTTTTGTACTTCTCTGCATTTCTCACAGCTCAGACTCTGCAGAGGACAAGGGTTCATTCGCCATTTCAGTTCCCCGAAGCAGCTGTCACCGTTCATCACTTCGGGGTCTATCACTTATTCCGTTACCTTAAATTGGTTTTTTTGGGTTTGTTTGTTTTATTTTGTTTTTTCAAGACTGTGTTTCTCTGTGTAGCCCTGGCTGCCCTGGAACTCAGCTCGGTAGATCAGGATGGTCTCAGACTCATAGAGATCCTCCTGCCTCTGCCTCCTTGAGTGCAGGGATTAAAGGCGCGCGCCACCACCTCCTGACACTTTAAGATATTTTTAAAATTGAAAACGTTAAAAAAAAATTTCTGCGTCAGCAAATTCCTCTTCCTGTTTCTTGCCTAGGTTCCACTTTTGTTTTTTGGTGTTTCATTTTTCTTTCACAAGTCTCCTTGCACAATCTTGGTCTCTGTGAGTTACACAGAACTGACACAGCCACCAGGACTTAGGCTCATACAATCAAGGCCCAGAGCTCCGTGCACAGCTGTGTGCTCTGCGAAGCACTTGGCCATGGTGGATCGGGTCTTTCCCGGAAAGCTCTGGAAAGCAGCACGCCCTTTGTTGTCCTGCTAAATTGTGAATCCAGGTCACTGTGAGCAGAATGTGCATCCAAGGAGTAAGCCACTTACAGGAAATAAGGGCAAAGAATGGAGAGAGAGAATTCTAGACTGTGTGAGCTTTGTGGCTAAAGGGTACTCTATACCCTGGACCTTTTATTTTTGTAAGGTTTAGTTTTATTTTATGTGTATATATGTCTATGCCTGAGTGTATATATGAATACAACCTATATTAAGTGCCTGTGGGGACCAGAAGAGGGGTTCAGATTGCCTGGGATAGGGGTTATGGTTGTGGGTCACTAGGTAGGCAGTGAGAATTGAACCAAGATCCTCTGAAACAACATGTAACCATTGAACTATCTCTCCAGGCCCACCCTGGGCTTTATTTTTTTTAAAAATGTGAATCTGAATTAATAAAATAGACTAGAATGGATGGCTATTACATGGGCAAAGTCATTTTCTTTGATCATAGATCATGTTCCTATAGAGATGGGGTGATTACAAAACACAGTCAGAATGAGGATGATACAGCAACCAAAAATATTCTTTCTCGGCTTCCTGGTAGTTGACTCGAGGCTGGAGTGAACAGCTGATTCTGTGGCTGAGGGTTCTCAGCTACTGCCCAGTACAGCTGCAATGCAATCTCCCGTCTCAGTGAACTTCTTTTTCCTCTTCTTGCCTACGCTATGGGGAAGTGGACATGAAGAAACCCTTCCCCCATCCCTCCGATCTCTGAAACAATAAAGGATATAGTAGCAGACCCAGTTCTTCAACTCGACTTTAGCCATGTTCTGGGATTTTCTCCAACAC